GGATATAGCTCGCTCACACCGAGGACATATCCATGTCATCATTTACCCAGAATGCTTTGTGTGTAAATAAAATGGCTCCGTCCGTGTTAAAATATATTTTTAAAAATTTACAAAACTAAACATCCTACAGTATTTTTACTGTCTTTATTTTATAGTTAAAATATATGTTTATCAAATAAAGTCCAATGTTACAGCTAATCGGGGATCCCAAACTGTATTTACTGTATATATTGTCTGTCTATCCAACCAGGGTACTCAAAGCTCTTCACACTGTGTCTGTGTCCTCATCCATTCAAACACACATTCATTCAGCACTTCACTACATCTCTCTACAAAGATTAATCTAAATCATTCTACAGAGACTAAACTGAGCTTTAGATCTCATTCATAAACTGATGGGACACATCAGAGGCTGTGAGGACGCAGTGACCAAGGACACTTCCACATGTGGCTGAATAGTGGTGGAATCAAACCCCCAACTCACTCATTGCAGGATATCATATTAAATATAAGCAGTAAGATAAACATTAAAATCCAAAGTAAATTCATCTTGTTTGTTCAGAGCTCAGTCATGCTGAACAAACTTAAACACATCTCAGAAAACAAAGCTGCTGTAAAACTGACTTGATAACAGGTTTATGAATATTCCTACTTTGCCTCAAGTTCTGAAGCTGCAGACAGCTGGAATACAATAGTGTGGGTGGTAAATTATTATATATTGAGTGAGTTGTACATTTATTATTAGATTTAATTGTTTAAAATTTAATTCATTTTAATTTGATTTCATAAAATATTCAGTACCCTTTGGGACAGCGTCAAAGTTAAACTAAAGTCTTTAGTTTCTGAGCTTTCTGTTAAATGTAAAGCAGTGGGTATTAACTTACAGATGTATTTTATTCTTCATCCTGAATGTGGCATGTTTGTTTTTTATAGTAATTTCTTTAACTTTCCTGTAAGTTACCTGATAGTCTTTACAAATGAAGTCATGGGGTGAACATATATTTTACAGCTTTATTGGTTTGATCAGATGCAGAATCAGATGGGAGTGTGGAAAGCTCTTCATGTTATCACTCAGAGATTAAAACAAAAGTCTGAGTTAACAAAGCAGTGTTTCTACTGGCATAAATTAAGGGGGGCACCCTGCCCCCACGATGGCACTGCCCCCCATGAAGGTCATGGCATGTAAGAAATTAATAACCATCTGTACCTGGTCGCAAATTACCACACACACACACACACACACACCCTGTCCCTGACGCCCCTGGGAGTTTTGGACTTTGGACAGTAGGGTTGGGCTAAAACATTTCCATCATCGTCAACATCATCATCATCATCATCATCATCATCATCATCATCATCATCAATCTATCTACTGGTGATTGGTAGATTCATGCATTTGACTGCTGTTGTTTCTGACATGTCCTTATTGTCCAGACATGTTAGAAAGCTGGAACTGCAGTGARCATATTTGTAGATTATTTTATTTCCCGATGAAATGCAGCGTGCTGCAGAGCGAGAGCGTACGAAGGAAGAGAGGAGGAAAAGTGTCCCCATGGTTACTGTTAGTTCAGTTMAATACCTTAACCTGCCATGGCCTCGCTGTTTTGGACAAAACCCCAGCATAAAGATAACCATGACTAGGCCTGTCACGATAACAAATTTTGCTGGGCGATTAATTGTCTCAAAAATTATTGCGATAAGCGATAATATTGC